GGTTTACTTAACGAGAGTTCACTGTAAATGGTATTTCAAAAGGGAAAGTGAAAAACTGGTTGAATAGGTGTGACAGTAAAAGTGTGGTCTCTCTCTCTCTCTCTCTCGTTTTAAATCTCTGCCATATTCTCCTAAAATATTAAATCCGTGAAATGTTTACAACATTTAAGACATGATTAATTAATGATATATTTATTCGCATGGATTGGTCGACTGCCCACACATGCGATGCACTGGTAATGGCATACAGTGTTTGAGCCAATACTGCGAAATGTCAATACGCGAGGGAAAGGTAGCGTTGATCGCGTGTCCGGACGGCTCGTGTCCAGAGCACGACACCAAAGCCAACGTGATATCCGCCCGAGAGATACAACTGCTGGTCGCCAAAGACATGTATGAGGCCTATAAACGGTATCGACTCAATTGGATGATCGAGAGGGACCCGACCCGCACCTGGTGTCCCACTCCTAACTGCGAGACCGTATGCCATATAAAGCCGCCCAAACAGCACAAGGATAGCAAGAAACCCATACCTGTCCACTGTTCCACCGTATGTACCGTTTGATTATCATATCCTATCCCTAGCCCCCGATCCCCTCCCTGGCCATCGATAATGTGTATCAATGATAATATAATTTAATTTTTGTTTTTAATATGTATTTTTGAAGTGCAATAAAACGTTTTGCTCGTCGTGTCGTCGGGGCTGGCATTTGGGCGTCGACTGCAAAAAGTTTAACGCACACGAAGAGTATGTATAAGACTTATATACCCACACATATAGACTAGTATATACCGGTGCTTTTTTACCATAATCTATCTGCAAAGAAATCTAATTACTTTTGTTAGCTTTATATAATATTTCATATCACTTTCGATATTAATAATTAATACAATTTCTCTCTCATTTTAACGCCAATAACATATCGATATAATGACACAAAAACATCACGTTTTTTACATACAGTGTTTTACTAAACGAGTCGTCGTCGCCAATCAAACGGTGCCCGAAGTGTTGTATATTGATTGAGAGGGACGAGGGGTGCGCTCAGATCATGTGCCGTAACTGTAAGCACGTGTTTTGCTGGTACTGTTTGGCGTCGCTCGAGGTCTGTACAAAATTTGCACACAATAGGGAATATTCTGATACCTATACTAATCATATATTCATTGCCCATATGTGTCAACCCATACGCCACTATAGGATGACTTTCTGTTGCGACACTACGACAAAGGGCAGTGTAAGGACAAGTTGGGTCACTCCCGGGCGTCGGTCATATGGCACCGGACACAAGTGGTGGGCATATTCGCCGGCTTCGGCCTATTGATACTATTGGCCTCACCCATGTTCATATTGGCCGCCCCCTGCCTCCTATGTTGTCGCTGTAACTCGTGGTATAAGTCGGACGCCGATCACGACCCCGTCTCCGGCGAAGACTTTGATCCGGCCATCAGTAGCAGCGATATTGGCGTCAAAAGTGATTCAATATTATAGTGAAATATATAATGTATACAAAATTTAATTGTTTTTTAAAAAACATGTCGATAAATATACACAAAATACAGAAACCCATGTCTTAATTCTCTCTCTCTCTCTCTCTCTAATTTAAACAGTTATTATTAATAATTATTAATATAAAAATAACTATGTTTTAAATAATTATACATTTAATTAACAAATTCTGTATTAAAACAGATATAGTTTTGAAT